TTTCGAGGGGAAAAATAGAGCGATTGATTAAGAAATCAATTCTTCCGCCATTAGAATTTTTAGATTTAGAACAATGCATTGATTGCATAAAAGAAAAGTATGTTAAGAAAATAAAGAAAGATGCCAAACGAAGTGCAGAAATTTTAGAAATAATTCACACTGACATCTATGATCCTTTTCCTATGAAGAGTGTGGATGGTTATGATTCATTTATAATATTCATAGATGATTATTCTCGTTATGGATATATTTATCCAATTAAAGAAAGATCAGAAGCATTGGATAAATTTAAGATATTTAAGGCTGAAGTAGAAAATCAGCATAATTTAAAGATTAAGATAGTAAGATCCGACCGTGGGGGGAGTACTACAGTCGACACACCCCATATGACCAAGTTCTTGGACCTTTTGCAAGGTTCTTACAGGAAAATAGCATAGTTGTCCAGTACTCTACTCCGGGCGAGCCTCAGCAGAATAGAGTAGCTTAAAGACGCAACCGTACCTTAATAGATATGGTGAGAAGTATGATAAGTTACTCTACTCTACCGATAAGTTTATGGATGGAGGTGTTAAAAACCGTCATTTATATTCTTAATCGAGTACCAAGCAAGTCGGTGCTCAAAACACCATATGAGTTATGGATAGGAAGGGAACCCTCACTTAACTATTTACGTGTGGGGGGATGTCCAGCTGAGGCTAAAGTCTTTAACCCAAACATAGGAAAGCTAGACTCTAAGACAATCAGTTGCCATTTCATTAGCTATCCAGAAAAGTCAAAATGTTATCGCTTCTATTGTCCTGACAGACATATGAAGTTTTTAGAAACGAGACACATTGTGTTATTGGAGGATGATATGGTCAGGGGGAGCATGGTAGTGCGAGAAATTAACCTAGAGGAGAAGCGGGTACATGTGCCTACTCCGATGGTTTAGGAGCCATTCTTCACGCTACTGTTGTTGTTGCACCACCAACAAAGGGGACAACTGTAGTAACGACACATGTTGTTAGTTCTCCCGTGGTGATAATGAATGAACATGAGGAACCTGTCCTTCAGGATCCTATAGAACCCATTATCACACATGAGGAGGAGCAACAACAGCCATATAGAACAAGCGTCAACTAACGAGGCCCCTAGAAGGTCTTAAAGAGTCAGGAATCCAGCCATTCCTGATGACTACGAAGTCTATGAATGTGAAGAATCTCAAATGAAGGGTGATCCCACCTCATTTGAAGAAGCCATGAGAGGCGCTCACTCATCAAAGTGGCTTGAAACCATGCAAGAAGAAATGAGATCAATGAATACCAATGGTGTTTGAAACTTAGAAATAATTCCTAAAGGAGCCAAGACAGTACGCTGTAAATGGGTCTACAAAACTAAATATGACTCCAAAGTGAATGTAGAAAGATTTAAAGCATGACTTGTGGCAAAAGGATTCACGCAAAGAGAAGGCATAGATTACAATGAGACATTTTCTCCAGTCTCATATAAGGATTCTTTTAGAATTATAATGGCGCTTGTAGTACATTACGATTTAGAATTATATCAGATGGATGTAAAGACGGCGTTCCTAAATGGGGATTTAGAGGAAAATGTTTATATGGCACAACAAAAAGGTTTTGTTGTAGAAGGAAAAGAACATATGAGATGCCACCGGAAGAAATCCATTTACGGATTAAAACAAGCATCAAGACAGTGGTATTTAAAGTTTGATAGTACAATAAGAAAGTTTGGGTTTCAAGAAAATGTAGAGGACAATTGCGTTTATGCAAAGTTCAAGAATGGGAAATATATTTTCCTAATCTTGTATGTGGATGACATCTTACTCGCTAGTAGTGATGTTAATCTACTACTAGAAATGAAGAAGTTCTTGTCCTCGAATTTTGATATGAAGGATCTCGGTGAAGCTTCGTTCGTTCTAGGAATAGAGATTCACCGAGATAGAAGAAAGGGGGTTTTAGGATTATCACAAAAGACATACTTAGAAAAGGTTCTAAAGAAATACAGTATGCAAAATTGTAAGCCTTCACCTGCTCCTATAGTCAAGGGTGATAGATTTGGGGAGTTCCAATGTCCTAGGAACCAATATGAGATCGATCAAATGAAAGCGGTTCCATATGCTTCAACTGTCAGAAGTTTACAGTATGCTCAAGTATGTACACGTCTTGACTTAGCGTTTGTTATAGGGTTACTTGGCAGATATCAGAGTAATCCAGGAATAAAACACTAGAGACTAGTAAAGAAAGTTTTGCGCTACCTGCAAGTCACAAAAGGCCTCATGCTAACGTCCAGAAGATCTGATTCCCTACACATAGAGGGGTATTCAGATTTAAATTATGCGGGAGATGAAAGAAAATCCACGTCAGGATATATATTTACTCTCGCAGGAGGAGCTATATCGTGGAAAAGCTCCAAGCAAACTGTCACTACATCATCTACGATGTATGCTGAGTTTGTAGCGTGTTATGAGGCCATAGGGCAGGTGAATTGGCTGAAGAAGTTCATGCCCGGGTTGAAAGTGGTAGACGACATACATAAGCCACTCAAGTTATACTTTGATAATAATCCAGCAGTATGTTATGCTCACAACAATAAGTCAAGTGGTGCTGTCAAACACATTGATATAAAGTATTATGTTGTGAAAGATAAAGTCTGGGATCATATAATTAGTCTGGAGCACATAAGTACAGAAAAGATGCTCGCAGATCCGCTTACAAAAGGCTTACCACCCAACGTGTTCATAGAACACTTAGCCGGCATGGGTTTAAGGGAAAGTCTATGATTCCTGGACAATAAGGGCCTAGTTGAGAATCTGTTTCAAAATAGAGAGGTGCATTGTAGCTGTTAATCTAATAGCACTGATAGTGACGATGAGGCACGCTCTATGCACTGATCTGTGATGGAATGGGAAAAAGATAAAGTAAGTTAAATTTAAGTAATAAGATGAGATCAATGGGGAGATTGTTAGTGTTGATCTCTCCAACTCGGCCCGAGTTGGTCCTTGACCTCGCGTCCTGATCGGGGGCACCCAACCCTACATGGTTGGTGGGCCCCCATCGCACTGCGCTATATAGAGAGGTGGAGGCCGTCGGCTCTTAGTATGAGGTTCACCGTGAGCAGCCACACCCACCGACAAACCCAATCGGATCTAGTGAGGGGCACAGCCAGCGACGGGGAGCTCCACTGCCGTCTTCACTGTCGCCTCTGCGCCACCACTGCACTGCGACTGACCTCAACACCGCCACCGCGACACCGCCGACCTAGACCGCATCACTTTTGCCATGACTACGTCGAGCTCTTTCTCCAAACCCGCGAATGGTCGATGACATCTCACCTCCATTCCTCTCTCTCTCTAGATCATGTTCTAGGAAGTTTTATCTCATATGTAAGGTTGCACTTGCTAGATTTATGTCTAGGTGATCCACTATGTCTATCAAGACTATTGGCTACATAGCCAATATCTGGTGTAGAACAGTTAAACGTTAGCATTACTGGCTATATTGATGTGTAAGCAATATATATCAAAGAACCGATGATGTGCAAGCAATATATATCAAAGAGCCGATGAACATAACCAGGACGATGACTACATCACTTGAATATGATGTTTGAAAAAACTTTATTTTAATTTAACAACTTCAAACAAAATTAAATTTGGCAATCATTGGGTCTCTCTCAAAATTAAATTTGGCACTTTGTTGGGAATCTCTCAAAAGAGAAGGCACCTTCAAAAATTAGCATATCTTTGCTATGTGTGGCGTGCACACGGTAATCTTTAAAGCAAGAAAGAATAGTTCATTTATGCTCACTGCACGCAGCTGCGTGGTTTGTATCTTAATGACCACCGCCCTCTCAAATATAAAAGACATATGAGATGGTACTAAACGTCAGCAACCTTCTCCACTTCACATCGTCTGGGTTTGCCAATTGCAGTGCTACACAGCTACAGCCCCCGTGCGTCTCTCCACGAAAGCCGGCCCTAGCCCATCAAGCTTATCGGTTTAAGCACACATGCGCTCGGAAATTCACCGCCAGCGTAGCTTTGCTGCTTTTCTGCTTCTCCACCTGCCAGCTGCCAGTCTGCCCCACTCTAGGGGTTCGTCTTCTTCCACCTGCCAGCTGTCACTCTTCACACACTCTAGGGGTTCGTCTTCTTCCTCCACGGGACTAGCGACGACCATACCACGCGAGAACTACCAAATATGTGAACTCAATGGAGAACCAGCTGGTGCTTGGTTGGTCAGCTGAGCGTGCGCTCAAGCTGCCCACCCGGGTTCGAGTGCTGATACTCGCTCGGGTGCCTCGCCTGGGGATTTATTTCCCGTTGATTTCAGGTGTCTCGCACGAACGAGCCATCACTGTCATATTACTCTTAGACCTAGATATAGATTGCGGATCTAGCTTACGTACTAGAAAATGTAAGTGTGTTAGGCGTGAGTTGATGCGTGGGTTTAGATACTACAATTTATACTCGAATGTTGAGACAATAAAAAAATGTGAACTCAATGACACTCAGGCCTTGTTTAGATGCAGCCCAAATTGCAAAAAAAACTAACTTTTCGAATTTGGAATCTAAACGCCCGATGGAAAAAATTTCGGCCTGCACGGTGCAAATTTGGCCCGGCCCAATCATTGCCTCGGACTGCGTGCATCCCCAGGATAACCCTGACCACGGCCCCGTTCGCGCATCCGTCTCCACTCCCTCTCCCCCGGGCAAACCCTAGGCCGCTCTCGCCCCGCCGCCGCTCTCCATTTCCGCCGCCGCCGCTCTCGGTCTCCCCTACCCAAAGACTCTAATCCAGCACCTAATCCACCCCCCCCCCTCCCGCGCCCTCACCCCATCCATTCCCTCTCCCCCCAAACCCTAGGCTGCTCTTCATTTCCGCCGCCGCCGCTCTCGGTCTCCCACGCCGCCGCTCAGTCCTCCACCAGATCCAGCCCGCCTACGTCCAGATCCACCTTCCCTTCATCCAGATCAGGTGTCCTTGACCTCCTCGTCGGCGATGGACGGGTACCACGGCGGCTCGAATCAAGACGGCGACTTCAACGACGGCTGCTTGGACAATGCTTCCGGCTACGGAGACGGCTCCGAAACCAGGGACTTCCTGTCCCAGGCGCCGCCGTACGCCGGATCTAGGGCCCACACCGGCTTTCGCAACAACTCCGGCGACGTCTTCGGCTACGGCTTCGGCAGCAAGGCGCCCTCCCTTAGCCACCTGGGGTTCAGCGAGCTGGACCTCAACGCCAGCCATTCGTGGCTGGGCTTGGCTCGTTACCAGGAGATCCTCCAGTCCCCATTTGAAAGGCGGCGGCGTGGCAGCTCTCACGACCCCCCTCCCATGCGCGTGCCATCCCACGCCGGCAGGGGTTCCCTCGGCCTCCGACCTCCTCGCCGCCGCGTGCCTCCCCTAGGGCCTCATGGTGATGAGGCAGGCGGCTCGACTGGCGGTTCCAGGAGGCCCGGTGTGCGTCGCAGCCTAGTCCAGCCCGCCGCCGCCGACGAGGACGTCCCTCCGACTAATGTCCCGGTACACAAAGTTTCTTTCTCCATGGGATTGCTGTGCTGTGCTGTGCTTGTGGTCTAGTACAAATAGATTGCTGTGCTATGTGCTGCTCACATGGTAGATTGCTTGTGCTATCTGATGCTTGTGCTAGTACAAGTAGATTGCTGTGATGTGCTGTGCTTGTGCATGCTGTTTATGCGAGCTGTTTATGCATGCTTTGCATGCATTGCTGTCCTTGTATAGGCATATTGTTTACCTACGCTATGTCCTTGTTTAGGCATATTGTTTACCTATGCCATGTGTTGTTTCTTCTTTATGCATCATTTCAGAGTACCCTTAGCAGGGCCCAGTGGAGTCCTCAAAACACCTGCACTTTCTCATCACTCTCGTTGACGAGATTGACAAGGAACGCCTAGGGTCGAGATGTCGAAGTAATGGAAAAAATCTGACAGAGGGTTACTTCAAAGCGACAGAATTAGTTCATGACAACATCATCTTTGGGAGTAGGGTCCGCCAGCTGAAGAAGGAATGGAATGACCTACGGAAGCTCTATCACAAGGAGACAGGCTTGGGGCACAATGCAGATGGCTCCATCAGTGCTTCAGCTGAATGGTGGAAAACCAACGACAAGGTACAACCTAATTCTGTTTTGTAATCATGTTTTTCTTACCTAATTCTGGGTTGTAATCATGTGTTCTAAACAAGTTCTTTTATAATTTTTGTTTTGCAGGACAACAAGCTTAAGGGTACACTGCCTGACTACATGGACCTTTTGGAGCGCATGTTCCTTGGCGTAGTAGTGACAGGGGAAACCGCTTATGCTCCTAGCCACAGGAATGCGCCACTGTCTGTGAGCAGTGACAATGACGAAGACGTCCATACCCCTCAGAGCACTGGGAGCAAGAGAAGCTACAGCAGCCTCAGCACCTGCAGCACTGCTGCTAGTCAAAGCAAGAGGGGCAGGAGTCCCGCAGTGAGGATGAACGAAGGCATAAGGAACTTGACCGTCAGTCTGGACAACAGGACTGAAGCGCTGAAGGAGATTTGGCATGAGAGGAATCAAGCTGTAGAGAAGAAGAAGAATGACAAAATGGACACCATTGACCAAGTGATACAGCTGGCTAAAGAGGCAGGGGCAACAGAGGAAAATGAGAGGCAGTGGATTGGTGTCCTCATGATCACCCAAAACGAAGCTGCTATGAGAATGTTTAAAAAGTCAGAAGCAAAAGGAAGGATGGCCATCATTAAGCACTATGCCGGGGTCGTTAACTAGACCCTCTTAATAATGCATTTGTCATGTGTTTGTGTCATGAACCTCGTGTACTAAGTCTGTGATGCATGTTAGTTGAACTACGTCTGTCATTTGTATGTTGTGTTGTCGAACTTGTCGGCAGCAACTAAGTGATTTGTGATGTTCGCTTGTGATGTCTGAATTTAGCCATACTGTTTGTTTCTGGAGTCAGTGCTGTTGGATTTGAGGTACTACTGCCCTGTGTATGTTGTTCCCTGCGAATTAGAACTAATTTGTGTTCATTTGTTTGTTTCATGTGTGCAGGCGGCTGCTCAACCTGCTGCTCTAGTCGTTGATGAGGATGACGATGACGATGATGATGAACAGTGGGAGGAGGACTTCTTCAGCTTATTCTTTGATGACATCGAAGAAGAAACTGCAATCGTATATGGTATGTCCCAGTATGCCATGCACATGCAAAAGTACTACAGTAGGGCATACTATAGGGTGCCAAAGATGACTGGGCTGGACTGGGTAGAACATAAACTAGCAAATGAAACTGCCTGTTACAACATGTTTAGAATCACCCCAGATTTGTTCTATAGACTGCACAAGGTATTGACTGATGAGTATGACCTCAAAGACACAAAAAAGTCCACCTCAACTGAGGCTTTAGGTATGTTCCTTTGGATGGTTGGTGCTCCACAATCATATAGGCAAGCTGATGATAGATTTGAGAGGTCACTAGCCACAGTCCACATGTTCTATAGAGTGCTGCCATGTGTTGTTGCACTTGGGAATGATATCATTAAACCTGTGGACCCAGAATTTAGTACAATGCATCCTAGGGTGAGGAACCGACGGTTCTATCCTGAATTCAAGAGGTGCATAGGAGCTATAGATGGCAGCCACTTCCCTGTTTTGGTGCCACAAGATAAGTTTGTGCAGCACTTGTGTCGCAAGGGCATCACAACTCAGAATGTGATGGTTGCTTGCGACTTTGACATGATTTTTATATTTCTCCTTGCGGGATGGCCGGGGTCTGCCCATGACACAAGAGTGTTCGAGGATGCCATGACAACATTGGATGACTTCCCTCATCCACCTGAAGGTAGACAACTAGGTGGTAGTACATTTGACATTTCTAATTGAAACATTTAACAATTACAGGTACTTGGTGGTGTAGGGATGTTTTACTTGGTGGATGCCGGCTACCCAAACCGTCCCGGGTACCTTGCTCCTTACAAGGGAACGAAGTACCATATTCAAGACTTTCAAAACGCCGGAGAACCTCGAGGTAAACAGGAGATATTCAATTATGCACACTCATCTCTTAGGAATGTGATTGAAAGGGCCTTTGGCGTCTTAAAGATGAAGTGGCGCATATTGTTGAGTATCCCTGCCTATCCTCCTCAAACACAAACGCAGATTATAGTTGCTTGTGTTGCTTTGCATAACTTCATAAGGTTGAGTAGGCAATTTGATGTGGACTTCCAGCACCTAGATCATCATGTTAACTTTGTGCCGGTTGAAGCCTATCTTGATCAGCCAGAAACAGAGCCTGCCCCTGATTGCGCAGATCGTGAACAAATGAATGCCTTTCGTGACAGCATTGCGAACAGGCTGTTTAATAGATATTGATACATGTGTATGTTTGAGAACTTGTGAGTTGTAATTGTTTGATTGCGGCTTGGACTTGTAATAATGTTGCTTGAGGACTGTAATATTTGAGGACGATAATATTTGGGTACATGCATTGTAATATTTGAGAACTGTAAAATGATTTTCGGACTGTAATAATATTTGAATGTTGTAATTATTTTGGGTTTTCCCTGCTGCATGCGAGAGCATGCAAGGAAGAGCAGGCAGCATGCAGCATGCATGGATTTGCATGCATGCGCATGCAAGGATGAGCCTAGCAGCAAGCATCCCTCTAAATGCATTTAATAGTGTCACTTGTGTCTTTTAGTCCATTAATGCTTTGGCAGGGCAAATAGTGCTATGAAAATTTTTCAACCCCTTTGGATGTCAGATTTTAAACCATTTTGGATGAAAAAATTTGGGTTCAAAAAATTTGCAATCTAAATAAGGCCTCAATAGCTTTTGCCTCATCTGAATAAATCTTTAAAATAAAATAATGCATCTATTTAAAAAGAATCTAATCGTAGGTTTAAGTTAAACCAAATTTCTTATCTAACTCAATTCGAGTTCGCGTTTCTATCACAACTTTAATATTTGCCCCAAGCCACCTATGTAACGACCCTGCATCACATCTCTGCTTTTAAAGACAGTCCCAATTTTATGTTCATAATTAAATTAAGGCACCAACTAATCAAAATAATGGTTTAGCATTTATGAAATTAAAGAAGAGAGACGAAGAAATTGTTTATGAGACAAGAACGTCCTGTTCGTTTGAACTTAGAACATTATTTTTCTCTCACAAGAAATCCGTTTCAGCCGACTTGTCAGCCATAGAAACCATGAATATTTTTTTAATTTTAATACTTTTTCGAAACTGATTTTAAATCTAACACTCTCGATTTTTTTAAACTAACATTTTTGACCACGCCTATTGCTCTGGCGCGGTCAAATATCTATGTCGCGCAATACATGGTGGCGCGTTAGAGGGCTAACATGACGACGACCAAACTGGTTGACCGTTGACCTGGCGACGCGCCGTGATAGCCTGGCCCTAGCCTGCCCGCGCGAGGCTCGATGCGCTGCTCCTCGGAAACCGCGGCGCCCAGAGTCAAGCGAGAGACGCGCCTGCGGTCTGGCTCTGGCACCGCCGCTCCGCTTCTCCCGTCCCTGTGCCGCGCAGGGCACGGGCGCCGAGGCTGGTTTACCAACCCAGAACGCCATTGAATTTGGGCCGGGAAGTCAGGGCGCACGTCGTGTCGCCGGAGTGCCGGTCTCCCGCAGTTAAACCGCTCCGACCTGTTGCGTCAAACATTACGTACGCGACTGGGACGGCTGGATCGGTGGACCCGTAGACGCACGGGAGCTTCAGAAGTCCAGCTGTTATGGCTTTCGTCAAATCGTTGCTGTGCTGGTACTAGCAGTGCTGGCGTAGTGTAGAACTACTTCTGTTGCAGGACTGTAGAAATAAAGTGTTCCCTAGGTAACACGGCAGCTCCGTTTGATTTGTCTTCAAATATAAATGTGGGTACAAAACTGTTATGTGTGAAATTTCTCATTTATACCTACGGTAAAATTTGCTCAAAAGCTTCTCCACGATGTGTCAGCGCGTGCGCACCGCATGAACCACAATGCCGTGCCCAGTTTTTCAAGATAGGTGGCGCGGCAGCCCCGCCACATCAACAGTTAACCGGTCCGGTCGTCGTCATGTCAGTCCTTTGCCGCGCCACCATGTATGGCGCGGCACAGGTATTTGGCCACGCCAGGACAATAGGCGTGATAAAAAATGTTAGTTTTAAAAAAAAACCGAGAGTGTTAAATTTAAAATTAGTTTCGAAAAAATATTAAAATTAAAAAAATATTCGAAATCATCAGCCAAGCAGCTCCTATGTCTACACATGGACTAAGATTCGAAGAGATGTGATAAGTAGACGATAGAAAGAGAAGATGTGTGATTGAATACAAAATAATTTGAAGAAACTATCAGTTCAAAATATGATTTTTATGTGCAGTATATATGTGATTTGGGAAGTATAGAAAATATTAGTTTTTGGGTTAGAACTGGCCTAAGTATCTCATGTTTCTTGTACCACTTTCCTCGTAATAGATGTGCTCATCTCTTCACTAGTCCAAAAAGTGGGATGAAGTTGTGAGCTAGAGTTATAGAACATAGTGAAAAGCAATCTAGGATTCTCGACGGAAAGTAGTATACTCCGTCCTTCTAAACTACTAGCACGATGGGAGCACTACCCTGCGCCGGTTTTTTGATGGGGGAAAACCCGAGAAAGAAACTGGGAAAAAGAAAAAAAAAGCAAAAATAAAAATGAAAAATGAAAAATGAAAAAAAATGAAAAAAGTAGAGGCCAGGGATTCGTGGGCTCTCAAAGAGAGTAGTTATAAGTCCTTTTAGCTCTGTTTAAATCATTTTTTAGCTTGGACTAAATCTCCATTTTACACCTAAAAAATTACTATTGTCATCGTCGTGTGCTAACTAGGGATGAAAACGGATCGGATACGAACGGATATCACACATATTATATTTGTTTTCATATTTCTGTTCGAATTCGGATTCGAACACGGATAGCGTTCGGATACATATACGAATACGGATTGACTCGGTTATGGATACGAATAATGAGTATCGAATACGGTATGAATCAGATTCGGAGAAGGTCGGATACAAATATCTATTCGGATATTGAGTAAAAGCAGCATATATATATATATATATCATACGTGCGCAAACCATTACACCACTCTATGAGTCCATAATCCATCTAGATTAAGCCGAAAGACTAAAGAGTAAAGCAACAAATAAGATAAAGATACAGATACATCATACATCAAACATCATATAAGCACCAATCTTCGCGGCATGAGTAGAAATAGCCAAGCACATTGCTTCATGGGTCTCATGGAGTCATGGTCATGGATTCAAGATCTACAATCCTTATATAGGCCATTTTTTCATTTTGAGAAAGTTTGAATAAAATGTAGTTTAAATTTCACAAGTGTATGACATAGTTTTAGAAAGTCTGTATGAGATTTAAGAATTTGTGACTAGTGTTTGATAAAACTTTCTCAAATGAGAAAATGAGCTATGTAACAATTGTATATCTTGCTGAGATGATCAAGCTTGGTATTCAGAGTTTTTTAATCTGAGGTCATTTAGTGTCTCATTTGAGCAAGTTTGACCAAGTCAAATTTGGTCAAATGAAAAAACAACACTTTGACTCTAGTATTATGAACTCTAAATGACTTCAAATTGAAAAGTTTTGAATACCAAGTTTGTTCAACTCATCAAGATATACAATTATTGTTTTGGTCAACTTTCCATTTGAGATAGTTTGGACGGTTCAAATTTGTGATTTTTAAATTTCGATGCTTACAAACTAGTTTTCGAA